AATGTAAACCAGTCATTAGCAAAATAGTTTATATATAATTTAAAAACTCTGCAAATTTTGTACTTATAACCGAAATGAAGGTACATACATATGTACATATATCCTCAAAATAATGCTGGGTGATTCACAAGGTGTCACAACTGTCATACTGGTTTAAAACTCTTTTGTGTTTGCTATGTACCACTCAAACATAAGTTTAGCCTTTATAAAATTTATAACAATACGACAAGTTATGACACCTTATAAATCACCCATATGTATGTATATTTATATGTACTTATATGTAAAATACGCTCCACTTTTTCTAAAATTTTGCAAGCAAATTAGTAAAGACTGTACTGTCCTCTCATAGCTAATGGCTGAGGATGGAATTTACATAGAGATCAAGAAGTTAATAAGCTCTTTCAAACTCGAAAAAGCATAGTGGAAACTGCAGTATAGTCCGATCGCAACTATAACTTTTGGGTCCGCCAAAAAGCCACAAAAAACCCGAAAATGCTAAAAAATATTTTTTATTAAAAAATAATTAAATAAACAATTGGGTATTGTTATTCAAAGTCTCCTGAAGACAACCAGAGCTTTTCGATCGAAAAATATTGATTTTCAAGAATTCTATATCATTTCTACGAAAAGTTGTTTTTCCCCCATATAAAAATACATGGAAAACTTTGAGCGCTTTGAGCGACCTCCAAATATTTTTTGATTTCAAAATAAAAAACCGGGGGTATACTTTTTTCGGTTCAGAACAATCCTAGGGGTGGGAGCATTACAATTCCGACTTTACTGTTTTGGGACCACCCTAATGTACACATGGAATGTCCTGTTCATAATTCACTGGAGCCTTCATTTTTTAACCAAGTTGATTATTTTTTTTTTTTAACTTATAAAACTACCAAGAGATCAATTGAGCCTGATTTCTTGAATTTTTATTTGTTTATATAAAATTTTTTAGTGCAAAGTCCAGAAAAAGTAGCAATTTTGAAGAAAATCGGTTCTCCTGTTTCAGTTAATATATGTTACATAATAAGAACTATTTGAAGAAAATATTTCTTGAAAAATAAGCCGCGCTTTTAATAAAAATGGCCGCCACTCTTTTTGGCGCGAGTATGCGCGGCTATTCTTTTCATACATCCTTAAAGGACCCCTTGCATTACTTTTTAATAAAGGAATGAAGATCCTACTCGGCCCTACAAATTAGTTGTACCTTCAAAAAAAAAATATTTCGTGTTATTAAGATATTCAAAATTTGGCAACAAAATATTATTATGTAATATTTCATATGAAATCATCATTTCCCATCTTTAAGAAGTAACACTAAATCGGCAATTACTGTTATCATTTAAAGTTTCCATAAAAAAAATCGTTAAGAAAGCTATCAACTCATAACTTTAAAACAAGCCACGATCGAATTCGTTGAATTAAATGGATTCAAC